AAAACCTTTGTTTATTTTGTAAAGGTATTTATATAATATAATTTGAATTGTATATTAAAAATATAATTTTTTTATAAATTTATTAAATCTTTTTAATAAAATAATAAAATAAAGATATTTTAATTTTCTTTTCGTCTAAAAAATAATTGTGTTTTTTTTACTTTTTTAAATTAAGAATTTGAGGTTAACAATTGTATTTATTTATAATATCCTAAAAAAGAAGTAAAAAATGAAGAGAGGTGCTTTGTGGTTAGATAATTAATTAAAGTGAATAAATAATGATAGGATTAAAATAAAAAAATGATAATTAATTTAAAAAATTCAAAATAAAAAAATAACAGTTATTTTAAGACAAAAAGAGTAAATTCATAAAATAAACAATACTTTTAATGTATAGCTATCTTATAAAATACTTTGTTTTTGTTTTGTAAATACTAAAATATTATTTTAACAAAAAAATTGATGTTATATATTATTGTCACACATTGAATTTTGAGTTATTTATTTATCTAACTCATAAAGATTATATGTGATGTGTCTCTTTTTTATTAGGGTGGATCTGTTCCTACCAAAAAATTTGAAACATAAATTTAAATATTTTACATAATGAGATATCAAGTTATATTTATATTTATTAATGTAATAACACACTAATATAAATGACTTTCACTTATAGTATACTTCATTTGTTTCATAATAATTGTAATTTTTTTATTTTTTAAAATTAAATATTTAAGAACTATTTATGTATTTACTTATATTACCCTTAACAAAACTAAAAATAAAGTAAAATATTTTGTGATAAGATAATTAATCAAACTAAAATCGATAATGATAAGATTAAAATTAAAAAAAAAAAGAGCATATTTGTCTATCTTAAAAAATGAAAAAAATGACAATTAATTTAGGACAAAATTAAAAGAAAAATGACAATTTTTTTTGGGATAGATGAATAATTTAAAAACTAATTTATTATAATTTACAAATTATTTTAATTGTAAATGAAAACCACATATATTGATATGTGACTAATAGATGAAAATATCATTTAGAACTGGTTGGCGAGTGCTTAACTATAACTGTAATTATAGATTT